CAGTACTACAGTTCTTTCCTTAGCCATTTTTTTCAAGCAGCTGGAATTTAATTGGACACAGTGAATCATACTTAGTCACATTTGTGCTTTCTGTTCATTAGAAAATGCAGAAATAAATTCACTTTATGTGGGTGCTAAACTGAACAGTATTCCTTCCTGGTTTTCTTACTTAAATATTTTCTAGGCCTTTTATAGTATGTCTGTTGAAACTGTTCTAGATACTTAAAAAAAACAGTTGGCATTTCAATCACTGGTGCTACTTAGTATTTAAGTAGATTGTTTCTGAGATTTATCTGTTTTTCAAGTGCTAGGGTTGGGGTTCAGGGCCTTTGAATATAGAAGACAAGTACTTTATGAAAGAGCTCCATCCCAGCCCTGTATAATCTAAGAAGGTGTTTATACAACAATTAAGTGAGGAAGTGAAAGGATACCTTTTTAGTTGTTCTTTACTTTTTAAAGATAGTGTCATCATTTGAAAACTATGTTTCTTCAGAAAAATACTGGCGGGGTTATGGATTTCAGATTCAGAAGTCCTCAACTCTTTCTTTCAATTTTGTGTTACCTTTAAGTATCCACCTAGAATAATGGGGTTTTAGCATGCCTACTCTGGCTTTCTATTACTCTTCAGTCTTTTTACTTCTACCTCATCTATTCCTTTCCTCTGATACTTTAAATATTAATTTTACCTCTATTGCTTATCGTAGTAAACATTTACCTTACCTTTTCACTTAATATTATGCAAGAAACAGAAATTTCTTGTCTCTGTACTTTCATTTACTTTATTTGTACCTAATGAACAAACAAACTTCTATTAATTTTACCATAACTTGTACATGGTTAGGGTTCATACATTATTTTATGTTTTTGTAAAAATTTATTCTGCAGGTTGAAAATCAATGACCTTGGCTGGTACTCCTTAAGACCAACTTTGGGTCTGTGCAGTTTTCTAGGTTTATCTTTCCCCAATTTAGCATTTCTTTGATGCCCCCCTTTTGTTTATTAAATAATTTACTAACAGGGTGTCTTCCTTCCTTCCTTCCTCCTTTCTTCCTCCTTCCTTCCTTCCTCCTTCCTTCCTTCCTTCCTTCCTCCCTCCCTCCCTCCCTCCCCTCACTCTCCCCCTCCATAGGGGAAACATTTTTCATATTAGATTTCCATACATGTCTAGTGATCCTTGATTGTCAGTTCATATTTGCCAATGAGGGGAATAGAGTATGTATTTAGGTTTTCTCATAAAGCTCTTAGAGCCCTATGTACAAATAAAGCTTATCGACTAGAATTACACTCATTTATCAATGTATAATATGCATAACTGTTCTAGCTCCAAGCATGGTAATTAAGGTCAGGGATCATAAAGTTACATATACTGCTTCATGGGTGTTGTCATAGAGAAAGTTCCACCACTATTTGGGTCTGGTCTAGAACTCGGCAATCCTCCTTAGTGTCCCAAGTGATATGATTACAGGCATGTGCCACCATGCCTGGTTCTCGTGGAGATTTTGTGTATGTCTGTGTGTATTATGTATGATGTCTCTCTGTGTGTGGCCGTGGTGCCTGTGTGGAGGTCAGAGGTCCACCTTCCAGTGTTTGCCTTTGCCATTTCACCTTGTTCAAAACGGTCTCTTTACTTTGGCATAGCCAGGCTAGTTGACCCTTCTCCCCATAAGTGCCTGTGTTAGGAATAAGATAATAAATACACTGTCTGGCTTTTACATGGGTTCTGGGGAATTCAAACTCAGGTCATAAGGCTTTTGGGACAAGTGCTTTTACTTGCTGAGCCATCCCACCAACTACCCCTATAACTGAAGGTCTTAGTTTTAAGCTATTTTATTTTCTAAAAAATAGTTTTAAAAATAAGAATTATATATTACAAGTTTATGAGTAGTTTCTGGAATGTTCTGAACTGAGTGAGATAGAATAGGAGATGTCTTAGTTTCTTAGTGACCATTGTTGTCATACTTTGACTTGTTGCCTTATTGCAATGAATGGGTGATTTCCTAGTCAGTTTCCATTGCTTTGTTATTATCTATCAGAAAGTTCAGTTTTGGGAATGCACTCATTCCCAGTGATTAAAAAAGCCTGTTCATTTTTTAAGGTTCTGTTTTAAGCTAGTTCACTGCTTCTTCCTGACTTCCCAGTTTCAGGCGTGGACCTTGGTTCTGGACCTTCCAGAGGGAAGGGATTTAGGGCTGTTTCTTGTCTCTGTTCTCCTTCATCTTGCTGCTAAGCTTCCTTCTCCCTCCCTTCTAAGATTCATGAGGGACGGAAGGATATGAAAGGCAGAGAGTAAGAGCTCTTGAGTTTAATGATATTCTTTTACTTTGTTTCTATTGTGGAGCAGTTTGTTTTCTTTGAACACTTCCTGTGCACCTTTTACACAGACAGAGCAGTCAACAAGTATTTCTACATACAACGGCTTTAACAAGAAGCACATTCAGTAAACTGAGGAGTAGTTACTGCTGGGAAGGCAAATAGGTTGAGGAGTGAGAAATGTATAAACCCTTGTGGAACATTTTTACTTCATTTGTGGATTATTTGGTTTCTTATATGCAGAATATGGTTTTGGATCGCTCAGTGTTTAAGCATAAATGAAAGACTGTATATTGAAAATAGGAAAATTTCCAAAGGAAAATAATTTTCTTCTAGATGGAATAAAAGAGAAGGAATTTTATTTTGAAAGTTTCAAAAATAGTGCTATTAATAGTTAACAGTTCCATTAACTATTTAAAAGCTGCATTTTAAGGTAAAGTTTATGTAAAAATAAGGGGATGTATATCCTTGAGGCATTGTTCTAAATTTTTGTTTCATGACTTGGCATTGTTTTTTAATATTTATTTTAAATTATATTTATATGTCTCTGTATATGTGTGGAGGTCAGAGGACAGTTTATGGTGGTTGGAGCACTATGCCTTTACCCTCAGTCAGTCCAGCTATTATTTTAAAAATGCATTTTGAGGTACAATGTACATATGACACCATGTACAAGTTTTAAATGTAGTTTTATGTATTGACAAATACGTAGCTGTGTATACTCTTAATTAAGGTACAGGACATACGCTTCTATGAGGAAGTTCCTCCATTTTCTGGTGAACTGCCCTCCACTTGGTAAACCACGACTCTGATTTCTATTCCTGTTGCTTAATTCTGCTGGTACTAGGATTTCAATGACTATAACTCACTTGTGCCTGGTGTCTTTTGACCTACTCGTGCTTCAAATAGTATCCTGTTATTTGCTTATTCTTCTGTTGAGAACACTTTGATTGTGTCCAGTTTTAGTTTTTATAAATAAGGTTACAGTAAAAATTGATGACAAATCTTTCTGAATACATTGTTTTATTGTTAGGTCATAGGACAAATATACATTTACTTTATAAACTGTCAAACTTGGTTCCATTGACATACTGTTTTACACTTGCACCAGAAATTAATGACAAGTCTACTTGTTCTTAATTCCTGCTAGCACTGCTATTGGTAGTCTTTTAAACATACTTTTGACTATGAAATGATACTTTTATGGTTTTAATCTGTATTTCCATTGTGAGTATGATAAACAAGATTTCATATGTGTTTGCTAGCTGAAGTTTCTGAAGGAAGTGTGTGATTTTTTTTTTTAATACACCAATGTCTTTTTTAGTGCTCTAGTGTTTTTATCTGTGTATTGTAGTTAGGCTTGGTGGTATATGGCTGTATGTTAGAACTTGGGAGTCTTTTGAGTCAGGAGATTGCAAGTCTGAGACCAGCCTGTGATACATAATAAAACCCAGTCTCTAAAAGAAACTATCATACCTATCTTCTCCAACATCTCTTAGCCTTGTGAAGTTACGTTTTTAAAAAACTTAGGTTGAGTGTTACGTAGAATTTATTTTCCTTGAGAGATATGAAGACTATGTTTTTCTTTATCAGTTTTGTGACTCTTTCCTACGTATAAATGTTTGAGGAAATGGGAATATACTTTTGAAATGAAGATAAAATGAAAATATATTTTGAAAAGTCTAAAAATTAAGAGTAAGAGTGAAGAAAATAATTAGGATTTAAAATTTTAAAGTGTTGTTTTTCTGCCTTTAAATAGAATAACTATATTAATTTTTGAGTAGTCTTTTTTCCAGTTGCAGTAACCTTGAATTTGGAGTATCTAGTACTTTCTTCCTTTGTTGTTTTAAAACAATCATATCCCTGATTTTTAAGTTTCGTGTTTGTGGGGGAAAAGGAGATACCTCAGGTGGAAGAGTAGCTCCTGAACAAGTATGGGGACCCGAGTTTGCACCCCAGCACTCATGTAAGAAGCTGGGCATGATGGAACCGTATCACTGGAGAGAGGCACAGGCAGGGGCACCCTTGGAACTGGCTGTCCTTCCACCGTGGCTAGTCCACAAGCACTGCCTAGGTTATTAAGAGAGACACCTATAGTTATTTAAATGAGATTGGCCCTGTAGACATGTATATGCCTACAGTTGGTGGTGCTGCTCTAGCCTTGTTGGGGGAAGTGTGTCTGTCACTAGAGAGGTAAGTTGACAGGTTTTAGTCTCAGCCAGCTTACAGTTTGCTTTTTCTGCTTGATACTTATGCTTGAGATATCATTTCTCACCCTCCTAGTTGGGCCACCTGCTGTCTTGCCTTCCTCACCAATGTGACCAAAATAAACTCCTTTATACGCAGATTTTTATTACGTTTTTAACCATAGCAGCAAAAACTGGTAAAACACCTGACTTCTACCTCTGGCCTCCATACATATATGCATGTATATGTGTCTACATGCTCATGGTCATATAAACATATAAACACATGTAACACACATGTATACACAAATACAGACATTCTTTAAAGTTAAATTTGTTTTTGTGATGTTTGTGTTAAAGTATAGACATGAAAATTAATGGTTGATTTAAGAGTCTACTGTGCTTTGATTTTAGGGGCCTTAACAGTAACCTAAGCTTTTATCATTTACTTTCCTAAATACTTATGTTACCTGTGTTGACAGTTTCCTCTTCTCAATGTTCCAGCTCTCTATCAACACCAGCTTATATCACTGAGAAGATAACTTGAAAGACATATTTTGCTGAGAAGACAACTGCGAACAGTTGTCCGAATGGGATGAACACGCATCAGTTGACTGACTCTCCGCTGAAGTTTGAGTGCTAACATTGCTCATTGGGTACTGTTACCTAGTGATGCACCTACTCTTACAGTACCCCATTTCATTGTGCTTGTCTTGATTAAAGAATTCAAAGTGGAGTACCGCAAACTTGATATGGATAATAAAAAGAAAGACAAGGACAAATCAGATGATAGAATGGCACGACCCAGTGGTCGATCAGGGCACAGCACTCGAGGAACTGGGTCATCTTCATCTGGAGTTTTAATGGTTGGACCTAACTTTAGAGTTGGGAAAAAAATTGGATGTGGCAATTTTGGAGAATTACGATTAGGTAAGGCTGTTTGTTTTTATTACATTATGTGAAGAGCAGTGTTTAACTGAATACACTTGTAAAAACCACTTTGTTGTTTTAGTTGTTAAGACTTTAAGTGTACACAGTGGGTGCTTTAGTTGACCATTGTTTCTCAAAATGCTGGTTATAATGAATACAGCTATTGAAAAGTTTGTATTTTCATTTGTAAGGAATTCCCTGGTATCTAGATGTCTATTTCTTTAGGATTAACCATTCATATTTCTTAAGAATGTAAGAAATGAGCCAGGTGGTGGTGGCTCACACCTTTAATTCCAGCAACTGGGAGACAGAGGCAGGTGGATCTCTGTGAGTTTGAGGCCAGACTGGTCTACAGAGTAAGTTCCAGGACAGCCTCCAAAGCTACACAGGAAAACCCTGTCTCGACAAACAAAAAACAAAACAAAAATGTGAGAAAACAAGATAAATTTAAAAGGCCATACAGGGGCTGGAGAGGTGACTGAGTGATCTTCCACAGCACCCGGGTTTGATTCCCAGGACCACTGGCAGTGCATAACCACTTGTAACTCCAGTTCAAAGAGACCCTGTGCCTTCTTCTGACCTTGTTAAGCATAAAGCTCAAGTGTATAGTGCACAAATGTATGTATGTATGCATGCATGCATGTATGTATGTAAGTTTTTTTGTTTGTATGTTTGTGCAAGTAAAATATCCATACACATATAAACAGGTAAATAAAAATTTAAAAGGGCCATAGCTTCCAGTAAGTCTTTTATTGTATAGTATATTTTCGGGGGGGGGGATATTTAGGCTCCATTTTTATATTTCAAAAAATTTAGTAACATTACTTTAGAATCATGTATGTGGCTTAAAGTCAAGTTAAGATACTGTATAAATTAACTTTACTTGTTATAATAGCTTGTTTCTCTGCACCATCCTCCCCTTTCCTTTGCTCTGCTGTGTTTGGGGTAAGGTTCGGGATCATTTGTTTAACAGATATCTCAGAGCATCTACCTACTCATGCTGTAATAGATTGGGAAATGCTGGACTTACTGAAGTTCCTAGCTGTCCATTTCAGGAACCAGGGGCTCCATAGGGAAGGTACTTTCTGGATGCCACAGAGCAGTTCAGTGGCAGATATAGATGTGAGATTTCAATCTTATTCCTAGTGCAGTAGAGAAGCTGTCTCCATCGAAAAGAATCAAGAAATGTGACATGGTGACATAGGAATTCAGTACTTATGTAATTAGGTACATTAAAGGCTTACCTCATTGGACCACCAAGACTATGAAGTTGAGGGAAAAAATGGCTTCATAGTTTTCCCTGGGTTTCATCTATTGTTGAAAATAAAACTATTTGTATGTTTCTGCTGAGCTATCTCTTACCATCTTGTAACACACCCTAATTTGTAGTTTCTCTTCTATTTCATTTGTTCTGTGTTGGTAATGTACATTAAATATGAATGAATGAAGAAGCAAGTTAATAAAAGCTAGTGACATTCTTTGTACGGAGCTATAAATGCTGTAGTTGGCAGGTTGTTTTGCATTTAGTAGAGATTAAAATATTTGAAAGGGCAAATATTTTCTGACTTCTTTTTTAAAGATAGTGTTCTTACTTGGGAGTTAGAGATACTAATTATTTACTTTCTGTCAAATTTTGAGATCATCAATCCAATTCTTAACATTGATCAAATTCTGAAAAATGTTCATGAATCACTTTCTAGGTTATTATAAATATTAAATTTAGAGTATAATATGATTAAAACTATCTGTATAGGCTTTGATTGTTTTTATTATAGTTTTCCACGTAATTGAGAAATAACTATCCTTATACTCTGAGTGTGTGTATTCATATAGAACAATTCTAGTGGTCCAACTTAACCAGAATAGTATGAGACCTAGTGTCTCATGAACCATATATTGAAATTATACTATATTGTGGAACATTCCTTTTTTTGTATCTGTGAATGAGCAAAAATAAAAACAATGTGCTGGCTCAGTATCTCTAATCTTATATCCAATCAAGTGATCACATAGAATCTAAGTGTGCTGTATATATGTGTGTGTTATACTTACATATATTAAACATTTGAGTTTTAAAAAGTCAACGTAATATACTATAATAACATACGAGACTTTTCCTGCAAAGACAGGATTCTATCAAAATCGAGCTTGGTGAACCCATGAGTTTGTTGGCGTCAATTTCAGTATGTTGTGAAAGGCTGGTGTGAGTCAAAGGTAGTTGTGTCACGGCAAAGCCCACCATATGTGGGTGCCAACTCAGGAAAAGTTGCATTTCTGGAGATCTGCCTAACTTACAGGCAATGAGAGTGACCTTCTCATAGCCTCAAGGGTGGGAGAGTGCCCTCTTGAAGCAGCTGTTCATTGCATCCATAAACTTAGCCTTGGAGAGAGGCCTTGTGAATATCTGGAAGCTTCAGCCCTCTAGGATTTAGAAGATCATTTACTTCCTGAGCTTTATGCTTCATTCCCCTCTCTAGGAGGGAGGGTTTCCATATACAGCAAAGAAATATATCTTCTCTCTCTGGACATGCCATTGTTTTATGGATAGGTAAGTATTTTACATATATACACCCAACTCTACATACAAAGACATACAGAGCTAAGTTAGTCATTTTAATTTTTCTTACTCAGAGACCACTGAGAGGACCTTTTATTATTTTCACTCCAAAGCCCTCCATGGTTTCTACGTTTAGAATAGGCTATTCTAAGCATTACTTTTTTAAAGTTTAGATTCTAATTTTTATTAATCTTTATTTTTAGTCTATATGTGTGGGTATTTTTCCTGTGTGTATATGTGAGTACTTGCAGAGACTACAAGAGGGTGTGAGATTCTCTGAGACGAGAGCTACAGATGGCTATGAGCTGCCATATGGGTGCTAGGAATTGAACCCAGGCCTCTGGAAGAGTAACCAGTGCTCTTAGTACGTCGTTACTTCTTTTCAACAAGGATGCCCTGTTTTTCGCTGGACAGTTTTTGTTTTTATAGAAAGCTGTCTCTTATCGTAGAATGCACTAGATACTTGAGAACTTTCTGAAAACTTGCTGTTGTAACCTTACATAAAACTCAAAGATAATCCCAGCCCCATCCCAGGTGTAGTTACCCCAAGGAGAGACAGTGCTGTCCACTGCTGGAAACTATTCTTATAGGTTATTAGTTTTTCAAAAAATGACCGAGATTAAAAACTAAACAAACTGATAAACATTAAATTTAAATTTTATTTAAATCAAATTTTAAATACATTTTTATTTTAAATTATAGGTTGTTTTCTTTTATCTTTATATGTTGGCAGTAAAACTTGCACTTTTGCCTGTTAGTAGATAGATTCAAGTTTGAACAGTAATTCAGAATTCCTAAAAATATTTTTGGCACATACCAAACACTTCAAACATAACTAGCTAAAATAATAGAATTATATTGTGTGTTTAAAACCCTTTGTGCATGTTATGCTCTTGGACATCTTTTAAAAATAATTCAAAATCCTTAACAACTTCATGCGTATATGTGCTGTATTTTGATCCCTATACACCTCTCATGTCCTTTTCAAGTGCTCTGTACTCTTCCCAACAGTTTCCCCTCCTGCTCTCATGTTTTTATTTTTAGAAAATGCCCCCACTGAGTTGAATTAGGGCTGCCTTGCCCGTGCCTGTGTGGGGGATTATTTACTAGAGCACAGACAACTTACCAGTGGATACGTTTCCTTGAAGAAAATGCTTTCCCTTACTCTAACGTAGCAACTAACTGCCAGCGGTTTCTCAGCGGGGGTGGCACCTCCTGAGTCTTTCCCACTCGTGCTGTAATGTTGATGGCCTCGGGCTTGTGCAGGTCTTGTGAAGGAAGATAGCCCCAGTTGCTCTGAGCTCATGAGTGTAGTCATGTCATATCCAGAACACAGCGTTTCATGCACTCTTCCCAATTCTTAGGCTCTTAAATTCTTTCTGCCCCCTCTTTCTTCATGTTCTCTGAGCCTTAAGGGTTGATGACATCATAGACAGTTACTTGATTTCACTTGCTTCAGCCACTGGCTTTAACTACAGTTCATTGCAACATTAAGCTTCTCTGAATTAATATTGATACCAGCACTAATGTATTGAATGGGTTGGCCTAAATTGAAAGGTGAGGGGCCTTAGATCCTGGCTTTGTACTCTCTACTTGGTGTTGTGTAGGTGAGGGGCAGGTGAGAGCCCCATGTCTAAATTATCCAAGGGTTTCTGTAGCTTCAATGTCTGTTGAGGTTCTTTTCGTTTGAAGTAAAAGAACTTACTGTGAATTTTCTTGGCTTCTATTTCACCAAGTTTCAATGCCCAGGCTTCTTCCTCAACCCCCCCCCCTTTTTGTGTGTGTGTGTGTGTGTTGCCTGTGTGTTTGTCAGTGCACCATGTATGTGCAGGGGTGGAGGTTAGAAGAGGGTGTTAAATCCACTGGGTTGGAGTTACAGATGGTTGTAAGCTGTCATGTGGGTGCTGGGAATTGAACCCAGGTCCTCTGGAATACACATAAGTCTTTGGGTATCTTAAAAAGACAAACAAACAAAAACAAAAAACCATTTTGTTCGGAGAGAGCCTGCGTCTCCTAGAGTTGGTCAATTCTTAGGAAAAGAGCCATTACAAGAGTCATAGGTAGGGGCATGCCTTGGGTATGGGAATTATCCTATCCCTGCTTTACTGTCTTTATCCACCTATTTACCAGGAACAGTATTCTGTGGCATGCTACTAGAGCCCAGCCCTCTACCCAAAGGTCATTGGAACTATGGAGATATATCAGTCCTAATCTATTTACCTAGTCCTGCCTTTCCCCAAAAAACTAATAATAAAGACCTTTGCTTAAGCTTTTCTTACATTCCTGGCTTCTGCCACCTCACCCAAACGGTGCTTTTGCAGTCCTGTATGGCAGTGGTTCTCAACCTTCCTAATGCTGCAGTTCTCATGTGGTAGCGACCCCAACCATAGAATTATTTCCATTGCTGCTTCACATCTGTAATTTTGCTGCTGTGTTTTCCAATGGCCTTAGGCGACCCCTGTGAAAATGTTGTCTAACTACCCCCCAAAGAGGTTGTGACCCACAGGTTGAGAACCTCTTCTCTCTGGCTTCCTGTATGACCCCTTCAGACTTGTAAATATAATTAATTTTATTCCCCTGAGCTTCTCCTCTGTTTTCTTACGGCTGCACCCGATTGAAATTACATTAAAAAACTTTAGATATATTGCTCTGTGAATTGCCATATCTGAAATAAGATAGTGTACTTTTTGACATAATAAGTTTCCACAGGTGTTTCTGTAATTTCTCTTATTTTTGTTTTTCTCCTCTTAGTCCTGTATTGCTCATGACTCCTTATCTTGATGTTTGTGCTTGAAAGTTACATAGGCCTTATATCTCCATTACATAAAGATTTGAGTAAATTCATAATTTTTATGTTTACTGACTTTTCTTCTGCGCGTTCTAAAACATGTGAAAATGTAAAAATAAAGAGTAGATGGTGGTGTTTAGTGCACAAAGGTACTTGTCACCAAGTATGATGACCTAAGTTTAATCCTCTGACCATACATGTACTCCATGACACATTCGTACCTTGCCCCCCAATAGTTAAGTAAATAAATGTAAAAATTTAAAAATTGACAGCGATGCTATGACAACAAATTTCAAAATCCTGAAATGCAGTAATTTTCATCAAATTATTTTGTTTTCTTCCACATAACACAGAGTAGAGGGAGAGCACTCGGCCTGTCTGTACCCTGTATGATCAGTGTGTGAATTTAGTGTCTGTAGTGTGATCTTACTAGCTGCTATTCCTTTCCAGTCAGCCAAAGAGAAGAAGGAAGAAGAATCAGGAACATAATACATTCCTGGAAATTGGAGGTGTCATACATACTTCATGTCCACTGCTTTCGAGTTAGCCACTTGGCCTCACTAAGCTGAAAAAGCCTGGAAAATTAGTTTATAGCTGGAAAACCATTTTTAAACTTGGACATTCTTTATTGTGGGAAGTACACTGCTAATACTGATGGGTAACTGGTAGACCCTACTATAAACATATCTGTAACATCTGAAGGACGTAGTTTTCTCTAATAACTCCAATTCCACAATATTGGTAAAACTTCTTCGGGTTCAGTGCAGAAGAAAACTGTATTGGAAATGACACTTGAAATAGATTAAGATATCACTGAACTAGGCCCAGTCCACTTGTAGCCTTAATGAGATTCTCTGTATCCTTCTGTCTTACTCATATCACACAGACAGACCCACTTGGTGTACCTTTCGCTTTGTGTGACACACTGATTAAAATCTAACTGTAGGGCTATGACTGTACTCAGCAACAAGATTGTATTGTATGATCTTCACTCACTTATGACTGTAATCCCCACCAGATCTCTAGTATTAACAAGCATGATGCTTTGTAGGATTCAATTTCTTTTTCTTTGCTTGCTTTTGTCTTTTCTTGCTGTGACATAAAAGATTAGACTATACAATATGAAAGCCAATAAAAATGTTGGTATGTTTTGGTTCTGTGGGGTCTATATTTGACTACTTGTCTTGAATTTTTCCTGCATATATTCAGATAAAAATTATATAGTTACAAAGAGGTTATAATGCTCTGCGGAAACATAAATTTTTAATCTTTGACTCAGTTGTGAGTAGGATACTTGTCTAAAATCAGGTTCTTCATTGTTAATAACACTCTTCTCTTAGTTTCCTAGAAAACATCTACATTTTCATAATAATGAGTTCCTAAATATGTATGTGAAAACATTTCTAAATGCAAAACTAGTTGGTTAAAAATATAAAATATTTCTAAAATTTGAAAATTATTTATGTAGGTTTGTTTACTGAGTTTCAGAATAGAACTTGATTTGTACAACTTTTGGTATTTCTGTTAGGTTAAATCTTTCATGGTTGCGGTGGTGGCACACGTAATTCCAGCACTCGGGAGGCAAAGGCAGGTGGATCTCTGTGAGTTCCAGGCCAGGCTGGACCGACAGCCTCCAAAACAATACAGAGAAACCCTGTCTCGTAAAAACCAAAAAAATCTTTCATGTATGTTGAGTTTATGAGATCTGTGCTACTCAGCATTGATAGAAATGTTGGCCCCGTTTACACAGTTTTATGCCATAAGGGCAATGTTTAGAGTATGTCTATGAAAATTCTTCTTTGTAAAGATAGCAGCACATCTAAAGCTGGATTAGGAGCTCTCTGAAAGACTAAAGGGTGCTGGGCAGAAAAATCCAGGCATGTAAATTGATAAACTGCCTATTTTGTTTTTAGTGGTCATTGTAACCAGAGTCACTTTCTTGGTTTAACAACAAGTCATTCTGTTTTCATTACAATAGTCACTTATGCAATTTAAAAATACTGGAAATTATTTTTATTTAATTCTTTCTGATGTATGTTAATCTATATTTCATACTATCCTTCTCTCCATCTTAACTCTCAATTTCTCTATAGTATTTTCCTGGGGCTGCAGATTTTGACTATTGGAATTTTCTTAGCTTATAGTCAACACAAAGATAATTGTAGTTTATTTAAATTCTTTGCTTGTTAGTGATGTTAAGCCTGTGTTCTGAATTGTCATTTACATACCTTTGTATTTAACATAATTTTCAGTATTTAGAAGTTTAAAGTTTCATATAACCAAATAGGTGTAAAATCTTGTGTTCTTCATGTTTTCTTATCCCTGGAAAGGTCTCCATTTAATGATATGATAAGTATTTTCTTTCAGTTCTTATATTTGACTCTATAGTTGAAATTAATTTGTTTGTAAGTTGAGACACTAATAATTCTTTTCTCAAAGTAGTTAATGAGTTTTTTGAGCCAATTATTGATTAGCTTCTTATTTAATTATATTTAAACATGTTCCAGAGTGTGTGTGTGTGTGTGTGTGTGTGTGTGTGTTGGATTAAATATGTGGCCTAATAAGATATTCCATAATGGATTAAAAGGAAATGGTGGATGGGCAGGGTTTTATATTCTTCTTTTACATAGGTGTTCTGGCTTAAAATGTATTCATTATTTGCTTGAATATTGGTTATTTCCTAATTTGCATGAAATATCAAAAATCAGAATATCTTTCTTATTATAATTGAATAACATATTTATTGGTACAAGTTTCTAACTGGAATCTAAGTGTGAAATATTAAATGCATTATTGAGTTTATAGTAAGTTTAGCAATTTCCTTTTCTTTAGAGTTGAAAGAAAAGATTTTGCTTTAGTTAAATGTTTTACTTTTTTTTCAAAAAGCAACACAGGTCAAAAAATTATGTGAGTTAAATTTAAAAATATTAGCAGGTTCTGACTTATTTTTTTCTTTTTCAAGGGAAAAATTTATACACAAATGAATATGTGGCGATTAAACTGGTAAGTTCATGATTATTATTCTATAATTGTTTCCTTTAATTATTGACTTATCAATATTTCATCTTTATATTTATAGCTTGGGTGTTCATCCAAAAAGTTATGCTTGCATAACTGGCCTTTTGTTCATGTACCTAATGATGTGCAGCATATCTGTGTTTTCTCTACCATGAAAACTCTGTCTTGTCTTTGGCAGCATCATGGAAGTGAAATTTTGTAATTTGTCAGTATTTTTAGTTTAGAAAGGGTTTTTTTTTTTAAAGTGGAGAAAAGCAAAATTTTTTCATTCTCATTCAGGCATTTAGACAAAATAAATATGTCTTTAGCATTTTGGATCATGTTTGAACACACATTTATAAGGTAAAGCTGCTTGTTGCTTGACTTTCAGGGAGTCAGAAAGCCATCTGAGTACGGGTGATAGCAAGGAGTTCTGTCAAGGGAACATTCTCAAATTTCATGTGCTCAGTGTGACAGGTACAAAATAGTTCTCTTCTGGAAGAATTTGTATCCAGAAACTAGTTTTATTCATTCATTTCTGTTACTTATTCATTTGTTTGTTTATTATTTATTTATTTATTTAGGCATAATCTATTTAGATCTGGCTGTCCTAGATAGACCAGGCTGGCCTTGACCTCATGGAGATCCACAAACTTGTGCTTCTCAAGTGCTGGGATTAAAGGAGTGTTCACCTACACAGAGCTAGGAATGATTTTTATGAGGCATAGTTTCTCTCTCTGGTTGTCCATCGGGTTTCCCTGAGGTTCAGTTTGGCTGATGTTCTCATTCTCCTTATCCGTGTAACCCTTGTCCCGACAGTGTGACCTGTTACTAGGGTGATATGAGTCAGACTGTTAGAGGAAGCGGCAATGGGAAGAAAGCTTTTGAACTGCAGTGGAAAGTCCCTATTTGTGAGTGTCTTTGTGAGTGTAGGCCTGTTTTCCTCCCTTTCACCATGATGAAGATAAACACGGGCTGTGGCACCACAGGACACAAGGGACTGACACCCAGAATATTTCTCTCTGGTTTCAAGGTCTAGTCCTTGACTTTATAATATAAACTCTGATAAGGTTATGTCAGGATTGTCACTGTTGTTGTTTAACTGGATTTGTGGTAATCAGTCACAAGAGTCAGTTAACATAATAGAGCTCTCAGAGATGTCAAAGGTGAGGAAATGATTTCTAATTTTTGATGAGAAGTTTTTACTATTAAGGTCTCAAGTGCCCAATAGTATAAATATTGTTTTATTTTAAAAGTATCTAAAGTTTATTCTTTATCCATGTTATAAATGTAGACAGTATATCGTGATCATAGCCATCCCCCCCACCCCACTTCGTCCTGTATGTCTCCCTCCCACCTCATGGCCCTTAAAAAAAAAACAAAAATGAGAGGTAACTGAGCCCAGTTAGTGCTGCCTACATTCCTGTGGATGTGGGGCTATCCAGTAGGGCATGGTCAACCTGTCATTCCCCACCCACCCCATTTACTCTCCGTCTCCAGAGTCTCCAGAAGCCATCAACTGCCAGTAACTCGTCAGCTGTGGAGAGTGCCTTATGTATCCCTCCTTCATCAGAGCTGGAGTGTTGATGGCTTGTTTTTTTCAGGGCTTGTGTAGGCAACCTTAGCCATTCTGAGCTCATGAGTATATTGGCCATGTCATGCCAGAAGACAGCATTTTACCACACTGCTTCCCCTGCTCTGACTTTTAAATTCCTTCTGTCCTCTTTAGGAAGGTGATATTCCTTGAGGTTTTAAGGAATAAGGCAGGGTGTGTGTGGGGGATTGGGGGGGTGTTGACATAAGCTGCCCCATTTAGTACTGAATAATCATTAGTCACTTATTCTCAGTACTTTGATAGTTTGGAATCACTGCATTAAATAATTTTAAAGGGCTACATAGACAGCCAATTTAAACAGACAAAAGAGGTTAGTATATAGGAGGAATCACAGCAGAGAGACTCAGCATACAGGAACTACAATATTTGAATGGGTATTCTGATTTAGTTGGAATTTATTTTTTAACGTTCTAGCCTATTATATGGAGTTGGAGGTGGTATTCCAGGATAGAAATGTGTGGTATTATGTGCTAAGGATGAAGCAGTCATAATTAACAGCATGTGCACAGGGGACAGGAGCACTGCCAGGCTGGCTGCTTCTGTCTGGTTAATTCATCAGGTGTGACCCTCAAGTCTTGTTACTTTCAGATTTGTAACTTGTTTGTCCTGTCCCGGCGTGTTAGTAAGTGGAAATCAAGTCATCTTCCAGTCTCTTTATTCATTACACGTAGCACTTTTATTTAGTTTATTTTGAATATCTCTCTTTTCTGTCTGTTCCTGGGGAGATGTGGGTAGGGTGCCCTTTAATATGTCTTTCTAGGCAGTGTTTTTCTAGCTCAGGCTGGCCTTGGGCTTGCTGTGCAGGGGGAATGCCCTTGGACCCAATGCTGCTACTTTCAAATGCTAGGATGACAGGTGTGCACCTGTACACCCAGCTGTTTGTCCTTTTCTTTTTAAGTGCAGTGATCAGCATTGCATACAAAATTACTACTACTCATACTGTAGAGTAACTGGAAGCAGTTTTACTTTTGTATTGTGAGGTAAGTGTGGCCTATTGTCATATTTTCCGTAAATTTATTGGAAGGTCAGAAGAATGCTTGCATTTTGGTCTACTGTTTTCTATGTGTGGCTTGTTGTATTAATTGTATCTAAGTGCAGTAGGTGAGATATAATTTTTTAGAAACAGTCATAAAAACAGTCATGTGGAGTTAGTATGTCTGTGCACTTTTAGACATAACTCATTTCTGTATTTCTGAGAAATGATGTTTTGAGAGCAGATCTTAACTTCTGTCTTAGCTTAAAAGATGCTCATGTTTGTCTTTTATTACCTTACTTCAGATTGGTAGCTTATCTAGGTGTTTTCATTCATATAGTAACCCATTGCCTGTTGACCACTGAAAATGTCATCCTTTGGTGATGTGAGTTTCCCTACATGGTGGTATTGTGACTGTGTTACTGCTGTTAAAGCACAGGAATCTAGTTAAAATTGCTAAAGAGAAGTGATTAAGATGTATGTTTAATTTCAGTTGTGGTGGTGTAACGGGACATTATTCCACATCTTAAGGGTGTGTATTTTTAGATAACCAGCATTTATGGTGTGCTATGTGGAAGGCTCTATTTTCACTGTTTTATATATTACACCCACAACCATGCATTCTGAAGGAGGCGGGCCATAAAAAGTTTTTAACTCTTTTTCAGATGAGCAGCTGCAACATACAGCAAAGTTAACTAACTTTCCAAACCACACAGCTAGTGAAGTGGGACACTGAAGGTTTTAACCTAGTGTAATTAGGTTTCAATCTCTGTACTTTTAACTACTATTCTGCATTGCACCTCAAGATTTAAGCAGCATACTATTTTCTATAAATAATCCTTATGACTGTTTCTGGTGTGTTTCCTTTATATTTATTCACATACCTGCTTAGGCTTCTCATTCTTGAATCTGGGTTTTGCTTGTGATCATCACTGTCCCCTGTATTGTGCAGATCTCTGATGTGTAGTTTCTACTCCCCCCCCCATAATGCATCTGGATAGGTTTTTCTTTTAACCCTTTACTTCCCTTAGTTTCTTTGTTTTGTTGTATTTATCTTTTGTTGTAGAGAACTATGCTTTTAATTATGTTTTTTTTTTTAAATTTCTGTTGGTTTCTTCTGGTATCTGTTCAAATACTTATGTATGTTTACAGGTGGTATCAATTTAGTGAACATTGAGCACAATGCTGATTGATATAGATCTAGAAGATTAGAGATACCAAGTACAATATTATAGCTTATATGAGTTGATATTATAGCTTAAAGAATTTGGTATTAGAATCCAGTGATTGTCTTATAGTTGAAATGTCTTTTCTTTATTCACTTGTTTGCCTAGGAGCCCATGAAATCCAGAGCACCACAGCTGCATTTGGAATACAGATTCTACAAGCAGTTAGGATCTGGAGGTAAGTTATATGAATTTTAAAATTTGGAATAATACAGGTTGTCGTAAAATTAAATACGATAAAATTTTAAATTTTATTACAGAGATTTCTTTTTCCAAAAATGTTTTTTTTTTTAATTGGGGCTGAAGAGATGCTTCAGTGGCTAAGAATGCTCTTCCAGCAGATGAGAATTCCTAGTGCATGTGTCAGGAGGGCAGTTCCAACTTCAGGAGACAGTGTGCATTGTGGTGCACACGTGGAGGATGGTGATGGCATGTAGGAGTTGGTGCTCTCTCTCCACCTTGTGTGTTCTGGGAACGAGACCCAGCTGTTAGGATTGTTGGCAAATGCCTTGACTGCTGAGCATTCATACTGTTATCCCCTTTAGCAATATTACTGTTATTATGATGGTATAAAAGTTGCTCCTTAAATCTATCTACATGATGATTCCTGAAACCCACAGTTAGCTTATAGCAGACTCATGGATGCTGTCTAGGTAAGCTCTAAATGCAGCCTCAAGTATCTTTACTAGTAAGGCAGAGAAACTTGGCATACACAGGAAAGGGACGATTATCCATGGGGGATTGGTTAAGTGATGTCAGTGAACTGAAGAATGTGTACAGCTCTATGATCCTGAAGGAGGCTCCTGGTTTCTGTCCTGTAAAGGGAGTGTGGCTCTGCCTCCATTTAGCCTCATGAAACTGATTTGAGACACTGGCCTCTAAGGTGTAATGCAATCAGCTTTTGTTATTTTTCATTTCCAAATTTTTTTCAGTTTGGGTTTTCTTTATTGATCTTTTTCTTTATTCAATTCTACTGTTATGTTATGTCTTGAATTGTTTTCATTATTATGTTCAATTCTTTGTGTTTTCATGGTCTTCATTGAGGCATTTATTCATATGCTCTTTTGTCCTTGAGCATATTCTTTCTTTTTCTGCTGGCCACGTTCTAGTTTTCAGTTTACTATTATCTGCATGAGGTAATTATTCTCACATCTGTATTGTTGCACATGGAATGCCCTCTCAGAGCGAATGTCCTAGTGAAGCCCCAACTTTGTCCTGCTTTGCGGCTCACTTCCTGTCACTGCTTGCCTCCTCTCCGGAGAGAGGCTTCTATGTTATATCGTGTTACTAATCTGTAACTTTCAATATTGTCAGTATTCACATGGGAAACATTGCTTCACAAGTGAATGACTCGACTTTTTGAGGTTCTTTGAACTGTACAAATAAATCTACACTGATTTGGTGATAACTGTAGTGACTGTTACTAAAATTACGATGTCATAGTGTTGTCTTCTAAGAAGTTAGGAGACCTCCCTTCCTTCTTCCTGCGTCCCCTCTGCTTCTTGATCTGTGCTTTATGAGAAAATCATGGCTTGTGTATTCTTCACATGCTTCTTGCCCTCTCAACCTCCCCCTCAAAATAAAACAAAATAAAACTTAGGAGGAAAGAAAAAAAATCTCGTTGTGGAAGCTGCATTGTGGCACAGTGAGTCACACAGTAAACCCCCAGTCCACACAGCTCTACTTACAAGTGTTCACTGCAAAGAGTCGCTGGTCTAGTCGAGGCCTCTGGCTTCTGCTACGCTATGGATCCTAGGACTCTTCGGGTATCATTGTGTTGTGGCCATCATGCAGCTTTGGATCCACAGGGCCGACCTCTTCACGTGTTCCTGCTGTTCATAGATTGGGTGGATCTGGGCAGGGTTGGTTAGCCAGCCAGCTCTCCCCCATCCTCACCACTAGGGTGAGCTCTCCAATGTTACTCTTGCTAGTTCACTTATGCAGCAAGGTGCAAGGGGGTGGGGTCGGTTCTCTTGCTGTCATGCCCTTGAGCTGGCTCACCTAGCCTACAGCACCAGGGCCAGCTCTACTGTGTTGCCCAGGTGAGGTGCAGAGTCCACTCTCTGCAGCTGGTGAGAGGCAATCACAATAGGGGCTCTCCCATTCTCATGCCCCCACCTCCCAACAGCGTCAGCTCTATTGTGCTACCTAGGAGAGGTGGAGGACCTGCTCTCCTGAGTACTGCAGCCAGTGAGGGTGGGACCAAACCAACTCGGTACAGCTGTGGACATCAACCCAGATGGCAGCTGCAGCAGGGCCATGCGGTGGGACAACACCATGTCCCTGGTGGGGTGCACCCTGGGGGCAGGCCGTGTGCTGCCTCAGCTTCTTTTCTTCACTGCCTGGGCCGGGTCACCCTCAGATATTTAAGCCTTATAAAGTTAAGGTCGTTGGTAGATGTAAATTCTACAAAATTGTAACTCTTGCTTGAAAGTTTGATTTTTTTTTCTTTTTTTGGGGGGGGGGCTTGGTAACAATTTTATCAGTTTGTCTTGAGTAGTTTCTCTGTGGATTCTCAAGAATACTTTGTTTTTATACTTACCAAAGGATAGGACTTCAACACTAGTTTAGTTTTAAGGATTTTAGTTTGCTTCCTTCCTGCCTGCCTTTCTTCCTTCCCTTTCTTTCTTTTTCTGTTTTTTAGGGTTAGTCTTGTAGTACCTGTTGGCCTCAACTCATTGTGTATTGGAGGATGTATTGTGTATTGCTCTAGATAAAGGTGGTGTGTAAGTCACCATTCACAGCTTAGAATAAACCCTGTATTTTCCCAGGTCTACAAATCAAAACTAGGGCATTATGAACACTTATTCAAAAATTCTGTCACCGAGTTGTACTCTCAGGCTAGTTTTCCTTTTTTAAAAGATTGTACCAGGACAGCATGGTGGCACACACCTTATACCTGGCACTGCGGAGGCAGAGGCAGGCGGATCTCTGAGTTGCAGGCCAGCATGGTCTGAATAATGAGTTCCAGGCAAGTGGATACTATATAATGAGACCCTGTCTCCAAAAACAAAGCAAAGCAAAACAAACAAAATTGCATCAGTATCTTTCTGTAAACAGCCCAGGTAAGACCACAACTTCTTAGAATGCCGGGATTACAGTGAAATTAAGTTTCTTGCTGAGCTGTGCAGAAGAGAGTGGTTCTCTACACAGGAAAAAGCTGAAAAAAGCAAAATAAGGAACAAGAAGCAGATTGGTCATTTCAGAGTTACTTCCCTTACAAGATAGTAGAGGGTAGACAAACAGTAGACAACACATGAGTGGTTAATGTCAATTTATGTTGCATCACTTTGTGTAAGGATTACAGCAGAGGGAATTTAAATATCACTCTGATTGAAACTAGACTATCTAGAAAATTTGTCCTGGTTTCTTTTTGGCTTTTTTGAGACAGGATTTCTCTTGTATTGTCTGGAACTCGCTCTATAGACCAGGCTGGCCTTGAACTCACAGAGATCTGCTTGCCTCTGCCTCCTGAGTGCTGGGATTGAAGGTGTGTGCCACCAACATGAGGCTTCTGGTTTCTTGAAAGGTCAGTTAAACAAGTCTTATATTTGGTATCATGGAACTTTATCATGGGTAACTCCATTTTGATTCTGCTTGCTCTGTTAAAGTATTATTGAATAGAAGAGTTCAAAGTGCAGGTTCTTGTCTTGCTCCAAATCATTAGTGGAATAAATTCAGTCTTAACCATTGCTAGCTTGTAATTGATCATGAAACTTCATTATTTCAGTTTCCAAGGTTCAGAAAACCCAGCATGGCCTACCTGGTTCTGCTGAAAGTTTCAGAGCTACAATGAAGGTGTGAGTCTGGGCTGTGGCCTGTGGTTAACATCCTCTCTGGACTCACTAGTTTTGTTTTTGCCAGACTTCAGTTCTTAATGGCTATAGGTATGGGGATCTCTTCTTACTTAACACAGAGCTTGTTTCTTTAAGACTCTGGACAAGCTCTCACTCCTTCTCATGGTTTTGATTTCTAGAGCTGCTTTTTTAAAGATGAGATAAGGTTAAACCCATCTAGACAACCCATCTGCCTTTTGATTGACTTCAGATCTTCTGATAAGGAGTGTGTGTGTGTGTGTGAGAGAGAGAGGGAGAGGGAGAGGGAGAGAGAGAGAGAGACAGAGAGAGAGAAAGAGAGAGAGAGAGAGAGAGGGAGGGAGGGAGAGAGGGAGGGAGGGAGAGAGGGAGGGAGGGAGGGAGGGAGGGAGGGAGGGAGAGATACCTCCCCACACCATACCCCTAGCTGTAAGAGTGAAACCGTAGGATTTTGCCACACTTAAGGGGAAGATATTTGCGTTGATTTTAGGATGCCAGGCATGAAGTTATTAAAGACAGCATTGAGACCTACCTTAGTAAAAGTAGGCTCTTTCCTATTGTATAAGCTTTTCTGTAGTCTATAGAAATAGAAGGCTAAATAAATAAAGCAGGTAAGATTGCAGAGAGAAAATAAAGTACTTTTTATATGATTTCGGGGTCACAGCTACAGTACAGGTGTACTGGTCTACTTTGTGAACATCAAGAAGTGGGATTAGAGAAGGAGGTTTAATCATAAAAGTGCTTTTTGTTCTGGAAAAAATAAATTTACTGTTAAAGTGCTTAAACTAGAAAAATTAAAATATTGTTTATTGGTTTTCCAGGAAAAAGGCTTAGTATTTAAGATGATGAAATTATTGAATGACTTTTTCTTTTTCTCTAGATGGTATACCTCAAGTTTACTATTTTGGCCCTTGTGGTAAATACAATGCTATGGTGCTGGAACTACTGGGACCTAGTTTGGAAGATTTGTTTGACCTGTGTGATAGAACATTTTCTCTTAAAACAGTTCTTATGATAGCTATACAATTGGTAAGTAAAGCAGGGTGTTAGAACTTGCTTGAACAATTACATAGTTCTTTGATCACAAGTTCCCTTCCTTCCTCTCACTCTGTTCCTCAATCTCTATCTATATATCTTGATTGTTTTGAGACCCAGTCTCATGTAACCAAAATTTGGTCTCAAATTCCCTATGCAGTGTATGTTGTTCTTGAACTATTGATCCTCCTGCCTCTGCCTCCTGAGTGCTGGTGTTGCAAATGTGTACCATCATGCCTGGTTATCATAAATTTAAGTTAAAAGTTTCATTAATGCTTTTTGACCTTGTCATATGAAACATTGGGCCCATATAATAGAAATGGTTTTTGCTTTTTTTATTGTCTTTCTAGGATGCACAAAATGTAAAATTACTGACCCAAGTGCATTTTAGTTGTATCTAAATTAATAATTTAATGACTCTTTTCTTGTGTAAGATGAAAACTTTGAATCCTCTTGGAAGTTAACTTTAATGACTTAATAAAAGAAGAAAAAAGCTAATGAGCAGTATATATACTTCAGTATTTACATTTCAGGGAGCCTTTGAGGAAACATTGGAGATGAGTTTTACACAGTTTTGACATAAATGCTAATAGAAGAATACTGCAGAAGTCTTGAAATGGTTTTTAATTCATTTAGTCATTAATTCTATTTCTACAGGTTTATGTTGGAAATATCTACTTATAGATATATGTATAGGGGTAAATAAAGTTGTAAAGTGGAGCTGACAGGGTGAATTGGATAAATCATGAAAATCATAATGTAATATATAGCTACTAAGAACTACATTAAAAGAATTTTTGTGACCCAGAAAATACTCATTAAATATTGTTAATTAAGGCATAGGTCACAGGAGTATGAGCTACAGTTTGTTAATAAACAGAATAGAACGGCCCGTGTGACTGTGCTGACACGGCGCTGCTAACCAGGTTTGCCACAAATGGAACAATTACTTTATATCTAAAGTTCTGTTCAGTTATTTTGTATGGTAAACATTATTTGAGAATATGAAAAATTATTATAATAAATATACTATGGTTATGATTTATTTATATATAAATATAGCTACATATAGATATTCTATATTTATAGTTAATATAACATGTTTATGTTTGTGTTAATAAAATTAATATAGATACATGTGTTATTATAGTTGGAATTTAGAATTTTTCAGTTTCAAGGTTTGAAAGTATTTAATTCCTAGGAAAAATCTATTATGAAAAAGAATACTGAATGATGTTAATTTTTCGATGGTAATTTTTTGAAGGTAAAATTACATTCTTAAGGTTTTTTGATTTTAAAAATTGCCTGATTGTTGAACTGAGGATGGAAAATGTTAGCTTTATGAGTGTGTTTTAGGTTTGAATTTGAGGTTTTTATTTTTAATCAATAAAGTTTCTTAACTTTAACTTAGCATCCTCTGAAAATGGTGATTGAATCTGACTGCTAGGAAATGCATTCCTAAAATTCAGATACTTTCATTTACCTGTGACCGTAACAGCAAAGACAAACATTTCAAGTCTGAAATGGACATATATTCTTTGAGGAAGTGAAGACTTGACATCTTTTTAGCTTTAAAGAGTTGGAGCAATTCCTAGTTGTTTTCTTTATTATGTTATTTTTATTGTGAAAGTTATGTCTTGGTTTTATCATGATTTTATTTGCTAGTGAAAATCTAAAATAAAAATTATTTTCTCTTTTTCCACTAAGATTTCTCGCATGGAGTATGTCCACTCAAAGAACTTGATATACAGAGATGTGAAACCTGAGAACTTCTTAATAGGACGGCCAGGAAACAAAACCCAGCAAGTCATTCATATCATAGATTTCGGTTTGGCAAAGGAATATATTGATCCAGAGACAAAGAAACATATACCATACAGAGAACACAAAAGCCTTACAGGAACAGCTAGATACATGAGCATAAACACACATTTAGGAAAAGGTATGTGAACATGTTGTGAGTGTGGAGACTTGAATTCTGCTGTGTCAGAAGTGTAAGCTTGTTTGCTACTGTGTTTCAGTGTTTCCAAATTAATGCAGCCCATATTGTAACTTTTGTTCACCACATACCTATACTTTTCTTTCTTTTATATTTTGATAATAAGGCCCTGTATAGGGTAAAATGTTCCCATTGATAACTTGAAATGTCCAACTTTGATACAATTAGAGGATCCATTTGCTTATTTCTTTTAATGCACAATTTTAACTTAATTCAGATTATAGCTCCCTTATACAGCTAGCCAGGTTAGTAGCAACCTGACCAATTGGGTATAATGCTAACAACCTTGAGTGTAAAGGCAAGCAGAGGTGGTTTCTAATGTTGGCTAGAGTATTTTTCCCAGCAGTATGGCTTTGGACAAGTTATCAATTTTAAAATGTGTTTGCTCTGTGTATACAGAGTTAAATATCAAATGTATAGCATTTTTATTTTGTTTTCTTTTCCTTTTTTCAGTTCGGGATCTAATTGGGACATTGTATTATGTGTTGTATGGTTTTAGTCTTTAAAATTTTTAAATCAGCTCTATGGCCTTTATAAGTCCTTTTTTTATAGGTCTTCATTTAATTATTTTTAGGAGCAAGGGCAATATTTTAGAATGTTCCTAGTTTGGGTCTCTTATTTTTTTGTTGATTAGATATTGGCATGAATGTTTAATACACATCTATGAGGAAACTTCGGAGTTTTGTTCTTGTATTATGTCAGAGTCAGTTGGTTTAGGTATTTCCAGGTGGGTCTGTTCACTTACTTAGATGATATCTGCTTAGTTTCTCCAGAGAATTGTATTTTCCCTTGGCAGATAAAAAGCATGTTGTAGGTAGTTCTTTGAAATTTTGTAACCATGTTATTCTTTAAATTTTTTGTTTGGTTTTGGTTTTTGGAGACAGGGTTTCTCTGTGTAGCTTTGTAGACCAGGCTGGTCTGGAACTCAGAGATCTGCCTGCCTCTGCCTCCTGAGTGCTGGGATCAAAGGTGTGCGCCACCACTGCCCAGCTTTTAAATTTCTTTTGAGATAGGGCCTAGCGTCATAACTTGGACTGCCCTTAAACTTGAAATCCTTTCTCCTTGGCCTCTCACATTCTAGGACTATAGGCATATACTACCATGAAAGGGTCTTGAATAAATTTTTACCCACTAGATTTAATAGCTATTGATGATTCCCTCTCTCTGTTTCTTACATAGTTATTAGCTGATATGCTAACATCATAACCTTCTTCTTTCACCCAGTTATTGACTTATATCTGTAGAGACTGAAAGTTTGGCCACTGAGTGCTCCTTCGAAGCTGGCTCCTCCTCCTGACAGTCAAGCATTCTTTGACCACTTTCTGATTTTGTAGTTTCTCTATTCCAGGCATAGCCAGTCATGCCTAAAGATGTCCTGGGTCTCTGTTTGATAATGATGGTGTTTGAAGACCAAGATTTGCCCCTGGTTATGCTTCTTGCTGTGCTTTGGTATTATAACTAGTGTCTGGGTAATGTGTAAGTGTGTGTATACACACACACATACACACAGGCTATACATGTGTACTATGTACACAAACACTAATGCATTCCTAGTAGAGCTTCAAGATTATGCTGGTACTTCTGAGTTTTGAGTTTGCTCACTACAAAGTAGTACTCCCCTATCTATATTCATTTCCCTTCTATATATTTATCTTCCTTTGTTAACAGAGAGAAGTCTGCCCATTATTCATTTTCTCAGTTTTTGAAAGCTAGGCTACTGAGAATATAGCTTCAAAATTCCTTTGTGAAGCAAGCTTACTGCACATAATTTTAATTATTTATCAGAGTTCTTTTTAAAATTTCAACAAAATTTATGTTGAATACAGCACAAATACTTAGGTTATAGAATGTGTTAACAAATGTTTACATTGCATAATCCAGCTCTGTCTTTATGTTTCATCTAGAAGCCTTATTTTGGTTTCTGATATCTGTGACTTATCTAGACTTAGTTTTTTTTTTTCTTTTTTGTTTTAGGCGAAACAGTGGTTAAGGTTTTATTTATGGTGTGTTCATTCACACTAAGTTTTCTTTTTCTTTTAAAAATCATCTTTAGCTGGGTGTTGGTGGCCTACGCCTTTAATCCCAGCACTCAGGAGGCAGAGGCAGGCGGATCTCCGTGAGTTCAAGGCCAGCCTGGTCTACAGAGCGAGTTGCAGGACAGCCTCCAAAGCTACACAGAGAAACCCTGTCTCAAAAAACAAACAAAAACAAAAACAATTTCATCTTGTATTTGTAATGGGTTTTTCTTAAACTACGCTTTGTGCTTGTGTCAGTGGAAGCACAGACTTGATTCTCTGCTTTTAGACACTGCTGCTAGCAGCTTAGTCGCAAGGACTAGGCAGGAATGTAAAGCAATCACATGTCCATTTGCTCAGATGCCTTAAAGTATCGACCACTCTGGGGTTGAAGGGCCCTTTCACAGGGTTGTATACCAGATATCCTGTACATCAGATACTTACATTATAATTCATAACAGCAGCAAAACTAGTTATGAAGTAGCAGTGCAATAATGTTATGTTGGGATTATCACAGCATGAAGAATGTATTAAAGGGTCACAGCATTGGGAAGTGGAGAACCACTGACTTAAAGTATAAAATAAGATCTTTGCTTCATTTCCAGCAGCTTTCCACAGACTTAGCTGTTACAGATTACAAGTCTTTGCTCTGCTGCTCAGCGCTGAATTAAGTAGCATTGGCATTGTTGCTGGCAGCCTGCCTGATACTAGGCTCATGCAGCTTTCTCCTTACACATCTGAAATGCATGAGAAATGGGAGTCTGTCTTTAAGCACAGTTTCAGACATAAGATGGTAAAATACAGGCTTTATTCAGATAATATTTTTGTGAGTCCTTACAATAGCAAACTCTCCTAACAGATTTAAAACACAACTGAGTATCCAGCCGGTGCCTTCTTCTAAAGCCAGTCACACCCATATTTGCGTGTGCAATTGTCCATGAGAAAGTTTCATTTAAAGGGAGTTGTTACAGACTGTTTCAAAATAACAAAGTTTCACAACCATTTTATTGTAAGACATGAGGTCATAGCTTCCTTGTGGGCTAATTTTGTGTGTGTGTGTGTGTGTGTGTGTGTGTGTGTGTGTGTGTGTGTGTGTATGTTGCAGCTTTCTATTTGTAGAAAGGGCAAAGTAAACTTTTGTTTAAAAAAGGCCTTCAGAGCTTGGGGAAGTGACATTTAACTGTTGTAGGAATCTACAGACAACAAAAGCTATAGGATATACTTTTCAAAGACCTACTTAGCAAGTCTAACGCAGGTGGATAATATTAATAGAGGAAGTGCTTGTTTGCCAGAAGACATGAATTCCAAATAATAAGAGGCACCTAAAACCGTATGTGTTTGGGTGCATTCTGTACATTCTGTGAGTTTGTGATACCTGTGGACATAGGTATTTCATGTTTCTTTAAATTTAAGAAAATGATTTAAGTACATGATTGGTGAAGAGGGAGAAAATAATACAGAAGAAACAGGACAGAGAAAATGTGACTCTTGAATGTGATTTTTTTACTTTATATGTGTCTGACTGAAGCCTTCCCAGCTTTGTCTGGATCTTAACAACCCCTTCCTTCCCTATCCTTTCTCCTTTCCATGATGTTCTTTTCTTCCTTTCACCTTTTCTTTTTTTGCCTTTGTTTTTGCAGAGATCAAGGGTCAAACTCAGACCCTTGCACCTGCTAGGCAAGTCCTGAACTGGTGAACTATATCCCCAGCCTGTTAGTGGTTACTTTTAAGGCATCAGTAATTCATTCATTTATTCGTCTGCATTTCTTTCTTTACATTGCACCATTATATAAGTATTTTTCCTTTGGAAGATTAGCAGACTATCAGATCTAATCAGAAAAAGGTATTTACATTATACTATAGATGAATAGTATAAAAACCACATTGTGTAGCCTTTTGTTTTTACACTATCTGTTGATCTTAACATGGCATAAGGCCATTTATGGTCAGAAGACAAATACGGTGACTTAGTTATATCTTTGCTTATTTTTATATAAGGTTATTACTTAGTGAAAGAAGCTGCTGTTGCTGTTTCTTCTTTGTATTTTATTCTGAAATGTTTGCTGTAATTATATGTCTACTGCTGAGTAGATTTTTAAAGACTGTTACTTTGAGTCTCATTATTGTAATTCTTGGATCACTCTTCTGCCTGCTTATATCTTTTCCTGTCAAAGTAATTTGAAGTTAAGTATTTTGTCTGTCTGTCTGTCTGTCTGTCTGTCTGTCTGTCTGTCTCTCTCTCTCTCTCTCTCTCTCTCTCTCTCTCTCTCTCTCTCTCTCTCTCTCTCTCTCTCTCTCTCTCTCTCACACACACCAATAAGCTTAGAGAAAATCCATTGTATTTTTATTTTTTATGAGGGTTTTCTCTTCCATCTTTTAACTTTATTTTGTCTTTTTTTGCCAAGGTGTATGTTATGGTTCCTCGTGGCAGCACTTAACTTTTCCCTTACTTTGATTTGTTTCTCTTAACTTATTAACCAGACTTACTGAATTATATCTACATTGAGAAAGATTTCAAGAGAGAACTAGTTTAGGAATTAAGTGACTATATGCACTGGGCTCTTTCTCAGAAAAAGAATGTCTATATTTAGATTTTCTTGATAGTGTTGGGTTGTGTGTTTAGGGGAGGGAGCTGTTACTGCATACTGTATTATGTAATTCTTTTATGTTGACATGGTCTTTCTGTGTAGCCAGTATGGTGTGGAACTCCCTTTGTAGCTCAGGGCATCTTGGAACTCAGTTGTGTTTATCAGGCTAGGTTTGAAGTCAGCATTCTCCTGCCTTAGCTGGGATTACAAGCATGTACTATCATGCTCTGGACTTGTATTGTCTTTGGAAAAACACCAAAACTCATCTTTATTATGTAATTTGAAGAAACTAGAGCTCAGTGAATTTTGTGACAATTGTGGGGTAGAGAAAACTACTAGG